GATGCACGGTACAGGCGGATCTTTGTGGAGATAGAAATATAGTGTCGGGTCCATAGGCATTTCCGAAGGCTGGAAAAAACTCGTCGTGCTGCGTCAATTCGGAAGATAATGTCACCCTTACTCTGTTCATTCGGTAGCAACCTCGCTCCGAGGTATTTGAAATTGTCGACTTTTTCAAGTTAACAGCCACTAATCTCGAGAGGTGTCCTCTCTTGAGCAGAGATGCAGCAGGAGAAAACTTTGGTCTTCCCAGCATTTATGGACAAACCGACCGATTTCGCGACCTCGTTCACCGTGACACCATAGACTGCAGATCGCCAAAGCTTGAAGCTGGTAAAGCAATATTATCGGCATAGTCGTGGTCAGACAACGGGCGCCCGGGTGCAAGCTCAATACCGTCCTATTCGCGTAGGATCTTCGCGAGGAACCAGTCAATGACGTAGGTATTCCTTCCAGTTGGCTTTTCACGTCGTCTCTTGCCACACGGGACCGGATCTGAAGATCGCAGGAGCAAGAACCCACCCTGTTGACTTCAGCCACTGCGACACACCCACTTCTAGTCCACCTGCGATCAGGTGGAATCAACAAAGTGAACGGCAACAGTCAATGTATAGCCCTTTTCAGTCCTCGATTAACTGGTCCGGCAACGTCTGACCGAATATCGATTAGGAGCCACTTTTACACCTTTTTTCTGTAGTCAACACAACACATACACGCACTGACTTGGGTCAATTATTCGCGTACCAAGGCTCTGGATATTCGGCGTCTCATAGCCTCTGCTCCGTAGTCTACTGAGAAAGTTCCATGAGTGAATTTTAAAATAAATGGACCTGACAGTGGCTAGTTCCGCGAAACGACCCCGTAACTTCTCTCAGTCCGCTACCCGTCCTTCAAAACGTTGTTTACTCATATTCTTTGTTACTAACACACTGCAGTCTTGCGGCACCCCTCCTCCAGAAGCTTAACTCGTGAGCCCTCCACCTAAGTGGTCTTGGTCAGAGGCCGTACACAGTGCACACTCCACTTGGTTTTACTGCATGATAAACCTATTTAGCGCCTAAGAACTCTGCGTAAGGAGGCAGAAAGATTTCTGGAAAATATTGTCGTTAACGGTCATTCGAATCTTCACTGAGGTGTAATGATAAATTGCGTGAGTACAAATAACTTCTTTCTCCGCGAAGCAAGCTGCGCGGAAATCTTGGCTGCCAATACCAGCGGTTCTGGAATGACACCTACTTGACTTGGCCGTAACGGCTTCGGTGCTCTGTCAGGCGCATATCTTCAAAAGGTTAAGGCAATTTATCTTGACGTTTTGACGCCACATCCCTCGTACGCCCGA